CCCCACTCCCTGTCCTGTCAAATAACTTCTTACAGTTCACCTGCCTTTTGGGGATGTTGTGGGTCCCAGGATTTGGAGTCAGCACTGAGTTGGAATCCTTGTTCTGCCACTTACCAGCCCTGTGACCCTGGGCATGTTGTTGCTCTGAACCTTGGTTTCCACATCTGTAATATGGGAATAGTAGTTCCCCATCGCTAATCAATGTGATGGGGGGAAGTAATATATTTACATATTTCAGCCTTGAACAACAGGAGGGTTAGGGGTGCCAGCCCTCTGCATAGTGGAAAAACTGTGTCTAACTTATGGTCGGCCCCCTGTGCCACGTGCCTCCACCTGTGGTTCTGCATCAGTGGATTCAACCAGCTGCGGATCGTGTGGTGCTGTAGCAGTTGCTACTGAAAAAAAATCTGGTGTAATTGGACCCTTGCAGTTCAAACACATGTTATTGAAGGGTCAACTGTGTACACACACACGCACATTATACATATATAAAAGATGTGGTGAAGTGCCTCGCATGCTACCTGGCATGCTGTGAATGCTCAGTAGGTGGTGTTACTGTCTCATTTGCACCTGTGGCTATGCCTATCACACACAGATACTCTCAAGCATCCACCCTCCGACCCCGCACCCATCTCCTGTGCTCTAGATCTGATTCTTGCCACTGGCTGCAGAACATCTCTACCCCGATGTTTTGCAGTTGGCTCAGGCTCTTGTTCAAAACTGAACTATTTGCTTTGCCCTAGGACTTGCTCTTCACGTGTTCTCCATCTTAGTTAAAGCATCACCATCCATTCAGGTGTGACTTTCTGGATTCTCTCTTTTTGTCACTCCTGTCAGTGACCTCTGACTCATTCCTGCAGTTTGTCCTTTTCTAACTGTGCTGCTTCAATTTAGACTCTCATCTTCTCTCACTTGAATTATTGACTGGCCGTTTTTTGGTTTCTCTACATCTGGATGCTTTCCTTTTTGTCCCATGTTCTACTCTGTGTCCAGAGTGACCTTTCTAAAATACAGATCTCACAGTTTCACTCTCCTGTTTCAAAACTCTGCACTTGCCTGTTGAAGGACTTTAAGCCTTAAGTCTAAGTACTGTTGGGCCTTGTGCTGACCTGTTTCTCCATCATCATCTCCTGCCACTGATGGCTCTGCCTACACACTCATTTCTTAACTGCCTATTTCTCCAAGATGCCATGTACCTTCAGGCTCTTCCTTTTTTAAAAATTACCTCTCCCTAGAATGCCCTTCTACCCTTTTCCAACTGGCAGATATTCTTAAAGGACCAGACAAATGTCGTCTTCCCTCTGGCCCTTCCATGATGTCCACATCCTTCCGTGCTGTTGCTCCCTCTTTGCATAGATAGTGTTATTTTCCCCCAACACTTCTCCATTGTCGCAGTAATCACTTTGTATTATAGGTATTTATATGCCTGTAATTGCTGAGCTTGGCACAGTGCCTTGCACATAGTAGGGACTCAAGTAATATTGATTGATTTGAATAAATGAATGCATTGAATGACAGTGTCTAGAAGTATCTTGTGAGATGGAATCTAACAAGTTGAAATTTATTAAAGATAAATATGGATCAAGAAAGCTAGTTACCCAAGAATGAAAATGGAAGTGATTGGCTTAACAGCAGAATGTGTTAAAAAATTAGAGGTTTTTCTTGACAGCTCAGTGTAAGTCAACAATATGAGGTGATAACAGAAAAAATAAGAAGGAAAGAAAAGAATATGAAATATCTTAAATGAGGAAGCTGAGTATCTGAGTTTACACCCAGAGTATTGTATTTGGCTCTATGTATCATGGTTCTATTGGGCTTTAGACCAGAATAGCAATAATTATTGAAAGTATTTTGTTTTCAGTATTATTGAAAAAAATTACCAAAATAGAGAGAGAAACCACTGGCTAACATTATCAAGAAGGAAAAGAAAGCACAAATGTACAAAATAAGAAATGATGATGTGAAAGAAGATTTACTGAAACAGACAAAAAATTACAAGAGACTTTATGGGCCTCTGTGTAAATACATTTGAAAATCTCAAAGAAATGGATAATTTCCTGGGGAAATACAGATTATCCAAATTGATAGAGGTAGAAAATTTAAACAGACCAATTTCTGTAGAGGAAAACAAGAAACTTATTGAGAAACTACTTCTTTAAAAAAGCTCTAGGCCCCGATTGCTTCACAGGGAAATTCTACCAAACCTTCAAATATTTTATAGTTCCAATGCTGCATAGATTATTTCAGAGGATTAAAAGTGAAAGGAAATTTCCTGCTTTTCTTATGAAGCAGGTGTAATATTGATAGCTACACATGATAAAGTTGTTACAAAAAGAAAACTATCATTTATTCATATTATTTATGAATACCCATGAAAAAGTACAAAATATATAGTACTAATATAATACTAATAAATATTTCATTAGCAAACAGAATCCAACACTACATGAAAAATATAATTCACTATTATCAGATAAGATTAATTCCAAGAATGCAAGGTAGTTTCATTATTTGGAAATCCATTAATGTCATATACCATATTAAAAGATCTCAGGAAAAATAATCATAGTCATAATCATAATCTTCTCTATAAATACTAACAAAACATTTGTTGAAACTCAACATCCATTCCTCATAAAAGTAATCAGGAAAATAGGACTTCATGGATATTTTCTCAATATGATTTTGTATATATGTATGTATATACACATATACATATACATGTATATATACATACATATTTTACATATACATATATTAGAAGAAAAATATGTGTATATACATATATACACACATATGTGAGTATATATGTGTGTATATACACACACACATATGTAAATTAGTATATTTTAATCTCAGTCCTAAAACCAGTAATACTAAATTGGGATACACTACTAGTATTTTTTCTAAAGCAGGAACAAGGAAAGGATGGCTACTATCTCTACTACTACTTAACCAGATATAACTAATACAATTTGACTAAAGAAATTGATTAGAGGCACAATGATTAGTAAAGTAAAACTGTCTCTTTTTGCAGATGACATCACAGTAAACCTGGAAAACCACAGAAAATTAATGGCAAAATAGCACAAAGAATAAAAGGTGTAGTAACAGGATGTAAAATTAACATGCTGAATCACTAGCCTTCATATACACAAAGAATAACCAGTTAGGGGACATAACGGTAGAAAAAAACATTATTTACAATAGCAACAAAGAAGATTAAATACTTAGAAATGAACTTAACAAGAAATGTGCAAACTTTCAGACACGCCTGAAAGACACAATTAAATGGAAAGATCCTTTGTTCTTGAACAGGATGGATGATATAGCATCACAAAGATGTCAGTTCTAAGTTAATTTTTAAATTTAATACAATCTTAATAAAAATTCCAAAGACTTAAAAGGAAGCTAGACAAATGAAATCTAAAGTTCATATGGAAAAATAAATATGCAAGAATAGTCAAGAAAACACTAAAAAAGAAAATTCTCAGTGTAGAGGGTAACTAGCTGTATCAGATGTTAAAATACAAGTCCTTTATAATTAAAACATAGTGATATCAGTGCATGAATAGATAAATAGGTAAGTGATATAGAATAGAAAGCCCGGAAATAGACCCAAGAACTTACGGAAATTTAGTTTATGATAAAGATGGCATCTCAAATCACTGGGTAAAAAGGGCCTTAAAAAAAGAAACTTTCTTATTTCCTGTGGTTTGTTTAAAAAAATTGTCATAAAAAAACCACAATATTTACCATCTCAACCATTTTTTAAGTGTCCAGGTTAGTGCTGTGAAACAAATCTTCAGAACTTTTTCATCTTGCAAAACTGAAACTCTATACCTATTAAACAATAGCTTTCCGTTTTCCCATCCTCTCAGCCCCTGGTAACCACCATTCTGCTTCCCGTTTCTGTGAATTTGACTATTTTGATACCTCATGTTAGTGCTATCATAACAGTATTTGTCTTTGTGACTGGCTTGTTTAATTTAAGTGTGGTGTCCTTAAGGTTCATCCATGTTATAGCATGTGTCAGGATTTCTTCCCTTCTTAAGGCTGAATAATTTTCCATTGTATGTTAAATTTTGTTTATCCATTCATCCACTGATTGACACTTGGGTTGCTTCTACATTTTGGTTATTGTAAATAATGCTGCTATAACATGGGTGTACAAATGTATCTTTGAA